GGGGGGGAGGGGGCTCCGGAGAGGAAGAGGCTGATGGAAACTCCTTCCTCATTAATGGCAATGAGTGGATAAGGGGCGGAATACGGCGCGACAGGGAGTAGGGGTCTGCAGCGCTGCAAGCTTAGAACGACAAGCTTTACTCATTGTACACGTTGTACAGGACAGAGCTACCGCTCTCAGCAGCTCCTGTTCTGACACCACTGACCCATCGGACTCTCCAGTTCGGCTGGGCTCCGGGAACAAGCGTCATTCCCACGCTCCTGGTGTCCACGCTTCACAGCCGGTCCATCCTGAACGTGTCCTCTGTGGCGGGGTCGGTGAGGACCATGTCTGGGTCATTCAGCATGTGCAGTCCATCCAAGGTTAAAGGGTCAATTTTGAGTTCATCCAGGGGGAACTGGGAATCCGCGTCAAAGCTGACGTCTCCCACTCCTGCCAAAGAGCTGGTCAGTTCTTTTGATAAGCTGGGAGGAGATTCTCCTGTCACTGCGGGGAAGAGGAAGGGAAAGGTGTCGGTAGGACTTAGCAAATAAATATTCTCCAGGCAGACGAGTCATAAAGCAGCTTGCAAAGATTCTGGAATAATTTACTGAACTAAGGCTGAAGTTCAGACGAGGAACATCTATCCTCATTTCCAGCTGGATGAGCAAGAGATGTGTCAGAGCATCTCAAAACCGTCGTAACGGCCTGACACAACACAAAATTCACATACATATATTTGGGGGCCACAAAGTGCTGTCACCTCAGCCTCTTTTCTCCCCCTTAGGTTTAGGGGCAACAACCTTCATTCACGTCACTCTAATCAGCAGGAGTCCTTGGCTGAAAGGTGGACCGAACTACGGCCTTCTCAGTGGCCCGTGCAGGAATTGTTTCCGAACGTCCAACCGTGACCAGGTTCGCTACCATACGTGACACTAAAAACTCTCTCTGCTGGCAAGCTCGCACGGAGCAGCAGAGGAAGAAGTTCGGCTTTCACCGCTTCTCCCTCGCTGCGACGGAGGATCCAGTAAATTCAGAGGCAGGGAAAGTCTAAGACAATCGGCGCTGCCACTGCAGCTCTACCTGTTTGCTGGGATTAAACGAGAGCCGTCAGGCTCCCCAGCACTCGGGGGATACGCCAGGCCGGTCACACGAACATTTACACAAAAGGGTGAAACCCTTTTCCTTTCTCGGCTCGAAGCGAGCCCTTGCACAACGGAGGGAAACACCGGCACCGGGAGGGTTTTACTTGTCGGTTAAGTCCGTGATTTTCTTACCTGTAAGAATGATGTTGGGGATGTTTCCATGGCTGGAGTAATTCAGCTGCTGCGAGTCCTGCAAGCTGCCATGACTGCCGGTAAGTCCCATCATGGCTGCCTGGGAGTAGTTAAGGGTGGAACAAGGGCTGTACAGGCTGTTGGAACTAATGGCGTTTTCTATCATATTAAACTGTTCAAGCTGAAGACCAAGGCACAAAGGAATTATTACTTCTAACCATCAGGAAATACAGCAAAACAACTTACAAAGCTCAAGTACGGGAAGTAATGTCGAAAGAGACAGGCAAACAAATTCATCTTTAGGTTTCGTTGATCAAAATATGGTCTATTTTCACTTAACTTGCCAGAATAGTTTACTGCCAGATTGAGAGTGCAGGGGAACGAGGAGAGGGTGGATGCAAAAATAAAATGGTTGCTTTTGATACCGTAAGAACAAAAGAGAAGGTAGCTTTAAAACAAAGTAAAAACAAAACCACCACAATTTACGCCACTAACTCGGGTATCTGCCCATCAAGCACTGCCTCTCAGAAGGCGTCTCATTTTTTCCTGCTACCAGAGCGTGTTTCACAGTTCAATGAATCAACGCACTGGCTGGCCAAACTAACGAAGGCGTGGGTCTGCTCGCGAGGTTTTGGTACCGTGCACGAGTTGTTTGCAAAATCCAGGAGTAAATATTGTTACCGCCTACAGGCGAATCCTTCCCCAATGCAACTACGGCCGGAGACGTGGCGTTTTTGAAATTTATTTTCATTATCTTTAATCCAAAAAACTTGGCAGAACACCTTTAAAAACATCTGCTATGATGGCTAAGAGGGAGGAAGGGGAAGGAAGGGGGGGGGGGGGGGGGAAACAAAAACAAACAACAGAAGCAAAGAAATCCCCGAGTATTGCAAACTGAAAATAAGAGAAGTAAAACTGTATGGACAAAATCTGATCCCACGTAAAATAATCAGAAGTTGATCTATATTTATTTTAAGCTGAAAGTGGCCGAAATATAGCTGAAAATCTGAGATGAATTTGCTCACCTGATGGGATAGGGCATTAGCCTGCCTAGCTGTCATCTGCTGATCATAATAGGAGTCACCAAATACACTCCCCAGAATGGAAGAATGCTGAAAACAAAACAGAGTCTTTATGGTGCAAAAATCTCACAAACAGACGTACCCACGGCGTGCGAGTGACTCCAGCCTTCCAACCGATTCTTCTCAAAGTTAGTTAGCGGTGCCCTTTGTTGTTAACAACCACTAGCCACCAGCAAGTTCATAAAACATTCAGTATGTGCCTCCAAGACACGAATCCTTCCCTGTTACGCTGCCTTTCGGTAAGCACAAAAACACAGTCAAGTAAACCAAACAAACTTCCTCACGGGGGACATACAACATATAAAACTGCTGATTTATGAAAACAGACGAGTGCGCCAGGTAACACGAGAAATAAGAATCACTCTGCAACTTCAGCTTTTCGGGGAATTTTTGGGTTTGTGTTTGGTTTGGTTTTGGTGAAAGACAAACCCCACGCAGAATTAAACCGCACGTTAAACCAAAAAGCAATGCAAAGCTGATCACCGGCACGCAGGGAGCGACGAGCTCACTGTCTCTGCAACCTCGCGTTCACGGAGCAGCCAGCTTCACCGAGACAACAACGTGCCGAAACAAAACTGACATTTTGAAGTCGTTTCGCTTTAGCTGCAGATCAGAAGAGTTAACGAGAAAGCCCGGTCGAGCGTGTTATCAGCAGTTCGAAGGCAAGAATCTTGGGAGGAATTCCTCGGCCTTGCTGATTTTACTGTCCCCTCTAGCACGACAAGCGATTGTCAGTTATTCTCCATCATTTACCAATTATTCTAAAGGCGACCAAGAATTTGAGGTCGACCTTTCAATACTATTCAGTACTGTCCCAGATATAAAAGATATCACAGAGAGATCACTCCTTATTTAAACCTGTCACAAATTCTGATACTCCAGCTGAAAAAAACCCCCATCTCCTGACAAAGCGAGCGTCTAAAGGATGGTGTCTATAAAAGACAATTTGCATGGGGCGTTTGTATCTCTCTTGAAAAAATAATTCAATACCTTGCACAGCACTTTCCAGCTGTTTTAGCTATGCATTAAAAGAGGACGGCTACAAATTTTCTCCTTAGAAACCTAACCAGCGTATGAAATTAAGCAAAGGCCCAGGAAATGTCAGAACAGAGTTACACCAGCCACCACAGTTAGAAGCACTGAACACGGCCAAAGATTAAGATATTCAAAAAAACCCCACAGTTTGACGTCCACAACAGTGAACATAAAAATTTCAGGCAACATCCCGTTTTAAACATTCTCCCTCCTACAGCAGCAGCAGATCTCAGCGCAGCTTATTTGGAGGTTGCATGCAAGGAAAAGAATGGAAATCTTGTATTAAAAAAACCCCACCAAACCCTAAACTGCCCACGAGCTCCATGAGAGGGGACTATCAGGAAAGAAGCAACAACATATTCTTTTTAAAGCAAACAAAAACCTTCCCACCTTCGGCCAGAATCCTCGGCTACCACATTATAGGGACGCTTTTGGATAAATGTGGCATCAAGGGAGGAATTCACAGCCCGAGAACGAGACTCCGTGGGGGAAGGTGGCTGAAAGTTCAGCACATGCTGCCCGTGCCGCAAAACTCCTTGCTGAGCAGATCCCGTTCCATCCAAGAACTGCTCCGAGCATCGCCGCGAAGCGCCTTCCACCGGCCGCACGCGAGGGTGCGGGTGCGGTTTGACCGCACTTGGGGAAGCGAGGAATTTGCTGCGGAACAAGCGCTGCTGGATAACGTCAGAACCCTGGAAACACAAAGCTCACGGACCTCCACCGTGCTGCATCGCAGGTGTGACACTGGCAGAGTCGGAGAAGGTAGAGACAACTGCCTCCAAATCTTTGTCAGAGAAGGTCGCGACGGTAACTTCTCCGTAAGAAATGGTTTAGCTAAATGAAGCCAGCTCATCCTCAAGACTGATTAAATGGAGCCTGAGCCAAGAATAGGCTTTTATGGACAAAAATAAGATTTTGATTCACTTCCCTGGGCATTAATGATCTGTCACAGCGATGACCACAGAACAATGACGACATCTTTGGAGCTTAACACCCTACTCGATGCCCTCCTTAGAAGCAGGTAAAAATGGAAAATGGTTGTAATTGGAGCCGGTCTTCCAATTTATCATCTGGTCCTCAAAACTACGGTGGCTGCTCTACCCCCCGCGTGAGACAGGGCTACGAGGAAGTTATCAAACATCACGAGCAAGAGCCACATTACACCTGACAAGAGAAAAAGCAAAGCACTACTTAAATAAAAAGCCCCATGTTTTTCTTTAAACCGCTGATATCTTACCTGCTGCCCAGTCACACTTTGATCAACTGCTCAAACTCCACATTATTCAAACTGCTATGCGTGTTACCTTTTTTTCTTAAAAAAAAATAAAATAATAAAAAAAAAATGGAGTCAGAGCGTAGAGCTAAGTCAGCAAGCCGACCAGCACCGGCCAAGCTTAACTCTGCCACGGGAAAGTCCTTCCCATCTCAAGCGGCAGGCACGGCTTCAGAGCTGTGTGAAGTTTTATAGCCATTTCTAATGAAAAATTTGCGCTTCAGGATGTCACATACTCGACGTGAATCAAAGCCAGTTTGGACGGGCACTAGAAATACAATGGCTATTCAAGAGCTCCAAAGAGAATCAAGGTATTTTTTTTCCATCAAAGTCTGACATTTCCTTTTTACAGGAGCTTTTCAGAAGTAGGGCAAAAACTAAAATCTTTGCATTCCACTAAGCGTCGACCCCATCCTAAAAAGCTTGGGCAGCATGAAAAATAATAAACAGTAGACCAAAATCCATTTGTGTAAGTCTACGTGAGTAGCTCCTAACAAAACATACAAGCCCGTATTTATTCCTCAGCTCTCAAGTATACCGGTTATTACATCTGTAAGCACTGAAACTCCCAAAGGAAATCAACTGGAAATGTCATTACTTCAACACTTCAGAGTCCTAGAATAATTTATCGACAGCGCTGTGAAAAACATCTTGCTAACACCATCTCCTCCAGAAACACTAGATGAGGTCTGTTTTGTCAACAGTACATCTTCTTGGGTTAATGATGTGGTGACTGCAAGGAAAAAAAAAAAAAACCCAAACCACAAAACCCCTGGCTTAAATTATTAATCTAAAAATACATACCATGTTATCCAGTATACAGCCATTCTACTAAAAAAAGCAGATTTCTATCTAATTGGAACAGTATGCCAGGTGTTAGAGGGGGAAAGCGAAGTAGTAATAAACAAGCCATCGTCAATGAAAAGCCATGCAAACACAAAGCTGGGAACTACGAGCAGAGCTTTTCAATTCGTGTTTGAACAGGAAGACCTTCATAGAACAAACACACATCTAAAACACAAGAGCAAATAGATTTGGAGATGTGGAAACATGAAAAATAAATTCTGGTGAATGAACCGTATGTGATAAAAATCAAACCACGGATTTCTATTTTTAGAGCATGTCACTCATCATACTGATACGCTGCAGAACGATTTAACCTAAAATTAATCAGAGAAACAGGAGCAAGCGGGGGACGCCTACCCAGTCGCACCGACTTTATTCCACTCCTGTCAGCCAGTGCCAGACTGTTCCACAACGGGCATGTTCCGCTGCTGGAACCAATCTGCCTTTACTCTTGGCAGGTTACTCTACAGTCTAATGGATCCTGCTACTTGGGAGCTGCCCCCCAGAATCGCAACCAACCCAAATTTTTCTTCCCCCGTTGCTTCTCGCCATTGCAACCACCACCACAGATAGCTCGCTCGCCACTACTAGCTTCTGGTTCATCGATGGAGGCAGGAAAGCTGTCTCATTTTTAATTTAGCAAAAATAAAGAACTGTGCGGGTATTTTTTAAGAGGCCAATACTAAGTTAAGTGGTATTAATAAACCCTCTTCCCTTCGTGCGTGAGTTACGGCGTCCCACTTGAAAACAGCAAAACCTAAGCAGGAGTTTACAGGATAAAACAGGCCCAGCAGGAAAAATTACAGTCAAGTCTGTGCTCCACTGGGGAGTGCTTGCTGCACTCCAGTACTTTGGCCTGACCAGTGGCAACAAGCCTGTGGACAAAACCAAGAAAGGGTTATTGAGAAGTCAAGGGGGAAAGAAAATCAACGCAAAAATCAAAATCGGATGCGCTGCCCAAATGAGAACTGGACCCGAGATTTGCAGCAAGACTGGCAACAGCTTTGCTCTACATGACAGCCTAGAGGAGTAAGTTTGCTTGTTTTCTTTGAGCCACACACAGAACACAGCAGAACTGGCAGAAGCAGGCAGAAGAGAGAGAAGTTAAGAAGCAATTAAGCAAGGGTTAAGAAAATCCAGACAGTCCTGACACTCGGATCTATGACTGAGCTTACCAGTGACCTGTCTCTGGCTAATGGCAAGGAGAGACGAAGCTTCTGCTTTGGAACCATGAAGGGGCAGCACTTATTTAGATAGGATCCTCCTTACAGCCTTAAACGTTAAACGATGAAACAGAAAATGTATTTTCAGACTCTGTTGTGATGCTCTGGAAGAATTTCCTGCGCCTCGTTTCTACAGGTGGGATTTAGGAAAAGGGCAGCCATACGGAGCTATTTTAGCAGCATCAGATTATTTCTGTACTGAAAATGCACTCACTCCCTTACCTTAGGGGCACCCCCAAAGACTGCCTTGTTTTTAACTGCCTTGCTGCTGGCAGATAAAAATTCCCCTTCATAGGATTACATGCACACCAAGCTATGACTTGCATATGGGACACGTGGATGTACGAGTATATACATACACAGGAGGAAAAACCAGCTAGCATGCAAGAAAGCCTGCTTACTAACCCATTACTTGCAAGCCACAAGATACAACTGCTCATTTTAAGAGCATTTTCTCCTGTGTTTTCTTTCAAAGTGTATGTTCCCACGTAAAAAAAGGTCCCGATGTAAATGCATTTGGCCACACAAGGGATATTGAGTGCCACGGGAGTCATCCTGCTGCAGGACGCACCTAAGCTTCCCCCTCTCTCCCCCCTGCCCTCCCAACCTTATCTGTCAGCCCCTACACTGCTAATTGAAAGGGGTCTACCTGGAGGTTCTGTCCACGGTACACCCCAAAGAAATAACGGAGTTCTAATAGCGTTCAAACAGTAGCTTTGACCAATAAAAAGGCAATTCACCAGCTATTGAAAAACTCTGGAACTGAATGAAACTGCGAACAAGATGAGACATCAGTAATGCATGAGGCACGTACAATTACAGTGAGACAACTATGGGTCAGTAATGGAGAGACTCAACTAAAAACAAACACAAGAAGCAAGGCCTGTGGAAGCACAGAGTCCCTTACTTGAGGGGAGCTGCCAGGAGAGAAGCCTTGATTGGAGACAGGAGAGGTGGGAGACTGGTTGGCTGGGGATCCAGCATTACTGCGGTACTGCTGGAGTGAAGCCTACAGAACAACACAGAATTAAAGACCATGGGATTGATGGAAGGTCGGAAAATTATAAACTTCTGGCATATACAGCTCGAGGAAGCTGGGAGGAACCATCCTCTTCAATTCTTGGCTGTGTATGAAGACACGATTACTGTGAACGATGCCGCAAAAAGGAGAGAGTTAAGGTGTCAGCGTGGCATGGTCTTGTCTGACTGAACGGCTGAGAGCGGGGCAGTGCTGTTGTACAAGCAAAACCGTTGAAATATTTTCTCACTGTTCTCAGTTACGTTCAATTAAAAAAAAAAAATAATCTGGTCAGCCAACGATTTAGGGAAAAGTAGTATTGAAAGCTGGGAACTACTCAAAAATAATGTAATTTATTCTTCAGTTCAACTGCCATACCCACACGTTCTTAACCTGTGTTTACACTGCTCTGGAAATCCTCCTCGTATTACTCTGCCTAGTCTTAAATAGCCTGGGTGCGTTATCAGGATTGAAGTGTATAACCACGCAGACTGGAATCCTCCTCAAAGCTGCATTTTACCCCAGGACACGGAACAGACGCTGTCTGAGAATTCACACTGTGTTTTGCAGGTTTACATTAGTTACATTCACATTGTTCTCAGTCGTCCTGAGAACACATTTTCAAAGATTTACCTTTTTTTTTTAGTCATGAAGAACCCTGGATTTGAACAAATTAATAATCTTAATGGCATTTAAATAGAATGTTGCACTAATTAACATAAACAGTAAGCACAGCTCTTCTCATTAGACTTCCTTTAGAAATCAACAGATTGAGGAAAACCTGCAATCCAGTAGTTCTAAGAAAAGAAGTAATTTAATCACACAGCTTTGCGGGGTGGGAGAACGCTGCACTACCAATGCTTTCTGACACCGAATTCTGTAAATCGCAAGAAAATAGGTCTCAACCCTTTTCTGCCATGCACTGCTACTTACGCGCTTTAAGCAGACATCCAAACTACAGCAAAATTAATTTCAATATTGCTTTACAAAAACTGCATCAAAGTTGTCAGCGAGACTGTAACGCAGCTCAAACGGCTTTTTGATAAACTAGCTTTAAATTTAAGTTTATTTATGAATTATTTCAGTTGCTTTAAAAGATAAGCACAGCACCCTAAAAGTTAAGGTCATGAAGAAGTTTAGGATGAGGAAAGCAACACAGAAAGCAAAGAAGGACCATCAGAATCATCTGTACTGGCAGCTATGTGAGTATTAGAATCAAAACATCGGACACATTTTGAGCGGGTCGGTGTCCTTTCCACTGCTGGATTCGTCCTTCCTCTTCCCCTTCCAATCCTGAAAGGGAAGCAGCTTCTTTCAAGAAGCTCTTATCAGCACAAACTGTTAAAAATTTCATCCGCAAATGAAATCCACGATCAAGCGCTAGGTCAATAGTCAATGATTTCTTCTCATTCTCAAACCAGCTACTGTCACTACAACACCGCCAGAAGGACACAACAGGTCGGATCACCAAGATCCCATACAGCAGGGCAGAACGAGCAGAGAATGAGCTGTGAAATTCCTCCCCAGCTAGCCTGTAACCCTGACCTTGCTCTGCATTTTGGATTTTCATACGCAGAGAGAGAGACAACGTTTCGTAACAGACCACTTAAAACAAGCAAAAAAGGAAACGTGTCCGTAAGCCCTCGCTATGTGTATGTATACACTCCATTTCCTCTGGGCATCGGAAGGCAGCCACGAATCCAATTTTTGACGATAATAATGTATGCTCTAAAATCCCTTAAAATGAAAGGGTTCTAAATATAGAAAGTGTAAGAAAATACCTGGTTCTCTGCAACTTTTGGAAAATGCTTGTTAGCAGGTTTCTTTATCAAAGTTCTGCTAGCTCCTCCAGCCTACAGCACACTGTGTAACGTACCATGTGTTGGGGGTGCGTTACATTTAACAGCCTGAAAATACATCTCAGTGCAACGGCAGCAGCAAGGTACGAAATAAATGCCGATATGTTTAAGCCGGTCTAATGGAGCCATAAGGGACACCGTTTTATGAGACTACGGCCACCCTAAGCCGTACATTAAAACCAGATTCTCCTCTATAAATCATTTAAATGTGGATTCAACCAAAACCATTCTAAGTCTACTTCAGACTCTGCCTAGAAGTACACTTATGACAAGGGCTGTCCAGCTTGAACTCTGACACTACGCTGTACGCTACCAGGTTTTCCGAAGGAAAGCTCTATCAATTTTCAGCTGTGCCCAAGCTTACCGAGTTGATGTCTATTCCCATTGACGGTTGGGTCTGGCTGCCCGGAGGTGACTGTGGGATGGTAGAAGGTACCGTGACGGAGAGTGGGGGGAGTTGTGCTCCTCGCTGTAAACCAGAGGTCTGCATTAAAGGAGTATTCTGAGGCAGGGTACTTGCCACCTGGGTCTGCTGCTGTTGCTGGGAAGTTGTCTGGGTAAAAAATGGATATGGGGGAAGCTGCTGCTCCAGAGACAACGCATCCATAGCCACGGCCTTAAAAAGAAGGATCAAAATCATCCACGCTGGCAGGTCATTTCCCTTCATTTTCAAGCACATCAAGTTCACACCAAGTGAACCGTACTAAGTCAATCTCATCTTGCATTTAAAAAATGTTACCTAAAGGTTCAGAAACAGTCAAGACCATGCTTGAAAAGGCTTAATATCACCTCCAGCGTACAACAAACAAATACTCTAAAAGCCCAGCTGAATGTCCAGGTCAGAAACTGATAAGCTAGTCAGTCGCAGAGTCACACTTCTGAAATCAATTTAAAAAGCTAATCGAGCTTCTCTCATGAATTTGAGAAACGTCTTTCAAATTTCACAACTAACTTGGGGACAATATTGTTACAGAAAAGTGTCCTAATAGATGTTTTTCACCACGGTTCTAGAAAAGCGAAAGTAAAATCTGTCCCCTCTACAAACCTCTCTCTTCTTGAGGCTCTAAATTAATGGACACATTTAAAGAAGAAAATTACAGAGCAAGAGAGATGAAGTTACAGCCAGCTTCTCCCTAGGTAAAATAATTACTCTGTGACTGAAAAATGTTAGTTCTCCAAGTAAGTTCCTACCTGAGTAATCGGTGACAAAGGGGAAAGCGTAGGAGACATTTGCTGCGACTGCGGTCGTCTTGAGTCTGCACTCAATGAGAGAGGACTGACGGCTGGCTGACGGTGCTGCTGGGAAGGGGCTGGCGTCGTCGTCATTCCTGCCAGGAAGGAACAAACCAGCTTAAATGGGAACAGAGCAATGGTTTATTGATACTTGTATAGAGGTAATTACCTAAACGATGAAAAATGAATGGCCTAAGTGGGCAACCGCTTAATGCAAAGTGCTGCATGCACTTTGGCCAGTCAGGCTGCAACTCGTTAGCTAATTTGCAATTTATTTTCTCAGGCTGAAGAGCATCAGGATGAGAGGAAGATCCCCGTGGTTTACCCTGGGCCAAAACCAGTCACGGTTGTTCAGGTTTGTGCACAGATGCCGACTTGAAATTGAAACAGGCAGAGCAGCTTCAGCGGTTTACAGAAGCCACAGGTATCGTTCCCGCACACCTCCCGGGCCGCACGCACGGAACCCAGGAGAAGCACAGTCTGCTCTATTATTTGCAAGGGCTCAAACTTCAGGGAGAAGGTAACAGATCATATAACAAGACTAATCAGAGGGCACTTGCGATATTATAAAAGCAAACACCTATTTAATGGAAAACGCAGAAGACAAACGGGTTACACAGGAAGTACTCCATTTTTAATGGCATACCAGCGCACAGAAGGCAGGAAATATCCTTCACACTCTAAAAAGCCACGACCTAGCAGGGGGTAGGGATAAACAATCCAAGTATCATAATTGTGTTCAAATCCAGGATAAAAATCTGGAAGTTTTTGAAACTCCCCTATTTTCTTTTTCTTATTTTCTGCCTCACCCTAGAGGAACCGAGACGCCCTGGAAAGTGATTTCAGGACAATCTAGCTAGCGAGCTGTTCTTCTAGAGCTGCCAGAAAGGAGGAATTCACAAGAGCCTGCGAGCTCCTAGGCACTTGGCAAACGCTCAAGGCTTCCAGGCGGGCTGCCAGGGAGCCAGGAAGTCCGGGCTGCCAAGGAGCCAGCAGGCAAACTGGCTCAAACCGCGCAGATTCTGAAGACTGCCTGGCTTCCCCTGCGATGTTTTCAAAATCAACACCGTCTCAAGGAACTTGTCAGCGAACTGACAAACTCAAATGCACAAACGTGTAGTCTTAAATTGCTGGCAGTTCTTTGTAACCTGGCAGATGTTTGTTTCCCCACCTTTTCTTGGGGCTGCTGAGGGCATGCCCGTGCAATGCACAGAGCTCCCGCAAAAGGTTCAAAAGCCTTTACATTTTCTGCTAAAGAGCTAGAAGATAAAGAGAGGCAAGGAGGGTTTGGAAAAAATCAGTTAAAAAAGCACCAAACGCTGACCGTGCCAATGATCAAACTATGGGATTGTCTCCAAAGAGAAGCAGGAAAATCATCAATGGGTATATCTTTGATAGATCAGGAAATGTTTTCAAAGCAATTATATACTTACAGGTTTGGTTTTATACCGTTTACTTTGCTAATTATGGGTACGGCATAAAAATTTAGCGGCAATCTGGCCGAACTCCACGCAAGTAGTTTGTTTCTTTTTATACACACAATAGTGCTCTCGGCATAGACTCGCTAAATCCTACTGGAGCGACAGCCCACCTCTGAAACTTTGTATAGTCTCTTTTGAGACCAGAAAACTTGTTAAAGGATGCTGAAAGCTGCTGACCTGCTCTGTACTCAAATGGTTAAACCGTCTTCTTGCTTCATTCTTAAATGTAACTGCTCAGTCGTAACACTACCTTAACCTGACAAGAATTATTTCCTTTTCCCAATATACGAGAGGATTTTTAAGTGGGTAAGAGAATCCTGCCTAACATACTTGTATTTTTGGATACAGCGCCTTATTTCTATTCTAGGAATCAACTGACTGCAACTGTCACTGACAATAAAAAAATGCAACCCTCTTCACAACTAGTCGAGTACGAATTAGTGAAATTATTTCAAAAATAACAATCACCAGTTCAGGCTATTTGCCTATAAAGTTAACAAGTCCTGAAATTACCAGGTGATCGGAATGAATACGATAAATTGCCAGCATGGCAAATAATGTTTGTTTGTGGGGTTTTTTTAAAAATAAAATTATCAGTATGGCCGAAGTCCAAAAACCCCAACAAACACAACTCAGACTCACCATGCTGAACAGCTCAAACAGCGACAGCACTTGAGAAGAACTTGCAACAAAAACTACGCTGCTAGGAAGGCAACGATTTCAACACAAAGGCCCCAAAATGAGAGCTGTGAGAAATTAAGGTGTGCATTTGGTACTGTTTTCCAAAGCCCCGCTATATTATATAGCCTGAATATTCAGGATATTTTCAAAACTTAAGCAGTCAAGCTCACAAAAACTAGCACACCTTGTAAAGGCTCCACATTATTCTTCATTGCTCAAAGGAGAAAATTTGCTTCAGACGAAGCAAGCAATGTTCTCTCTCCAAAAGAATCCTCACACTGAAAAAAAAAAACCCTTCTAAAGGAATGAAAACAAAAGGCCTACTTAAGATATTTCCGTAACACGAGTGCTGTTGGGGCTAAGTACAATTAATTACAAGGGAGGCACGCTTTGGATGCTAGTCTCTCCTGTAGTCTTACACATAAAACAAACAAACAAAAAACCAAACAAAAAAAAGCCGATTTGGGCACCAAGAACATGAGAGAAATGAAAGACAATTTGTAAGTCTCGTAACAAAATACAGCTTTCTCACGTTTTCGTACAGAAATGGCTTGATAAAACTTGTTTACAAAGAAATGTCAGTCAACCGTGAAGTGCGACTACCTCTCAGACAAAACAGTAATATTCAGCAACGCAACTTCCCTAATTTAAGACAAGTGACATGTTATGGCCAGCCTGTAGAAACGCCTCAGAGTCATGCTCTTACCCTGATTGGCAGTGCTGATGCCCAAGTGAGTCAGATTGGCAGCAAGATTCCCGGTACTATTGGAGCTACTCAGGGCTGGGAATGTGGATTCCTCAGGATCTAATGGTGTTGGGAGAGGGGAAGGGAAATGGATGTTTGTCAGGTCTGGCAGGGAGCCACCTGTGTTATGCGTAGCAGGAATCAGTGTTGTAGTGTTTTCCTGGTCAGCTGATGGAAAGATGCTAGATCAGGGAGAGAGGAGGGAAAAAAAGAAAAAAAAAAGACACATCTCAATTTAAATTTCAGCCTGGACAGATCTTTATAAAAATCTTTTTTAAAAAGGAAAGTGCCTCATACAGAATCATACACTGTATTTCTGATAAACCAGAGATGTAATAGCCAACGAGGTTTTGGCTTGTCTTGTATCTATTGCAGCATTACACCATCTAAGGGCTTTTCAGAAAACTCAAAAGCAAGAGGACATTCAATACACAGCATTCTTTCTTAAAGATCTCAATGCTCTTTAAAAAAAAATTGCTCAAAACTTACTTGATTCCTGGAACTTCACATGATTTAGGTCTTGATGACCCAGTCTAAAATAGAAGGAAGACATTTTTAAAGGCAAAGATAGTGCTAGAGATTAATGCTTAGGATATATTTCAATTAGTAAGTTTAATTTAATACATTTCTACAGAAGAGCTATTCTTCTACACAAGAGCTCTGTGAAGCTCTTAGAAGGTATTTTGCTTTATTGGTCCAACAAGGCTCAAATTTAAAGAGTTTCTCCTGATATAATCAAACATGTGCATGCACACGTACATATAAAGTGCCTTTCTGATCTAATGTTTAGTGATTTGTTGCTAAATATAGCATTTAATCTCTAATCTCTGGAAGCAGTTTGTTTTGGTTGGCAATATTTAGAGCATTAATTTACCTAAATATGTTTAGAAAATAAAATCGCTGCACTTTGAAATGTGAGATTCCTACCTTTTTAGTGTCCCATCCTTGCTTAGAGAGGGTTTTGTCTGCCTCAGAAGTGGTTTCCTCCATTCCAGGGACAGTCAGTAACAAAACTAAAAAATGAGAACAAAAGGAATCATATCACAATGTTAAGCTTCTCAGTAAGAAATTTTCAGATTGGAAGTTTAACCATTTGAAAACTCTTAAGTAACCTATTATCAATGAATATGAAACAGCGGCACTCTACTGTTACGAGATCAACATTTTTTTAAACGACCAGAAGAGACTAAAATTGTATTCCGTTAGCAAGGAGACATTATCAGCTTCAAAAAAACCCCAAATAATACTTGAAAAAAATTTTGGCTTCCAATTTCATCCGCTTAGATCTAAACGGCAGGGTGTATCTTGGGACCTGGTTTTTCCTATCTTTTGCATTTTGCACAAGCGATGTACACCTGCTGCATCTAACGGGTGGCCAATAGGACAATTCCAGTGGGGAGAAATCTGGACCATCTCCCCTGGGATAGAGAAACGCTATAAAGCTGTTACTTCTCCATATTCCAAGCACATTTGTTTGCTCAAAGCAATCAACTGTTTCATCATGCTAATAGCAAGGTGACAAAGAAACATCAGAAGAAAGCCCAGAGAGATGTATCGACAGAAGCCTTTCACCCTGATGACTACAAATCCGTATTTGTGCAATACTGTTTAAGATGATCATTATTTAATGTTTTACAGCTCTAGAAGCATATGGAAGAGCTGCCGTACAGCGCATATGCATCCGAGTGCTGCGTGTTCACTTACCTCTGGGTGGTTGTTTAAGGATTAAATGTCTCTACACAGATTTAAGAGCTTTTAACGTATTTCTTGAACTGACAGCAGGAGCAAGGGCCAGCAGAGGGCACCAGAATTGTTAGTGCCGGAGGGCTGCGCCGCTCCAGCTTGTAACTAGAAATATTGTCAGAGAGTATTGTTTGTAAGCGTTGCCTCTGAGGGCGTATTCACTGGTCATCTCAATCCCATAGAAAAAAAACTAGATGAACCCTTGCTACTTTACAATATTGTTTCACTGGCCGTGAAATGCCTGTGATCTCTACGCTTGTCTAGAAGTTACCACAAACTGCAAACCTCTAGTACCGCTGAGAGCAGTCTAACCACCAGAGTCCCACACACCCAGATTACTTTTCCCCGTAGGGCAAGGTCTTAGAATAACAGAAGACGGGGTTCAGGAAAGTGTTCTATCAGCTTTGTATAATCTTTTCTGGATTTCAGTACCCAGAAGAGTGAATGTGGTCCTGTGTTCCAATTCCTGCGTAACTGAATCTAGAAAGTGTTACGCATACGTGTATTTACAGGAATAGAGGAACACCAACACATGTGGTATAATCGGAAGTACAATGCTTTGAATGTTACAGGTATTTTTTGCTGTTTTTCGCTGTTTACCTCTTTTCTGCTGCATGTCCTGTGACCCTCCTGAGAAGGATTCTGGTTGAGCTGGAGTCATAGTACTCTGGTGCAAGGCAGAATCGGAATTTGTCCTGAAAGGAAGGCAAACCCAATATTTTTATTGTCAGTTTCTCTAAATCAAAGAATGCTTAATCCCAGATAAATGCAACCAACTCAGTAAAACCTGAATACTCTGCATTAAAAAACCAAAGTCTATATATGGCATATACCAGGCACAATTTCCTTGTGAAACAATCAATTCACAGAACAAATTAGTTCAAGTTTGAAGAGCAATTGTTTCAATAATGGGATTGAGAGGAATACAGGGTAAATTGGTTGCCATCGTTAGAAAATAATTTGATATGCTTTGTTAAGATTATGCATGATCAAATAATGCAATTTTTAAGTTGAAAGCTGCTTATACATACTTCAGTTATACTAGTCTTTGAAAAGAAAGCATCCCTGTTTCATAGGGAGGGAAAATGACTGGTTCAGGATGTATGTACGTTGTGGAGACGGGAACCTCCACGGTCAACACATCTCTCATGATGAACTGTCCTTCACTCGGGAACGTAGGCCACCACTTAGGCAACCCGGCACCTCCAATGCCAGGAGCATGAGGGGTAGGAACAGGGAACTCGGTGCTCCTTTCCACTCGAACGCTTGCGAGGGCAGACTAGCCCAGCTTCTGCGCAGTGAGAAACATCCAAGTCTTTTACAAATCAACAATTCTGGGGTGTGCCTTGGAACACCTGGCAAGATTTACCCTGACACACTTTAAGTTTAAAAGCAGGTCATCTAAAAGAATAAGCAAAATGGAAGAAAAATCCATTTCTAAGTTCAGGAAGTCATGGCAATTCAGATGACCAACTGCTGTGGGGAACAATGAAGGCCTTTGTTGCACATGCCAGTGTAGTATCAGACAACGCAGTCCAAATACTAACACACGCGTACGATTGTGCTACTAACCTTCTCCAGCTTGTGTCTGATGGAGGTGACAGATACACAGTGCCATACGGACAGCTGTCCACGTGACTCCACCAGTTAAGGGGAAGAACACCACTTTCTCACTTAAGTAGGAGGACTATTTGAAATCTTTTCCTAAGGAATAATTCAAATTACCCTGTCAGAACCACTAAGCTCGCATGAGAAAGGGAAGCAGACTCCCTGTGGGGAGCATACTGGCTTTAAAAGGACACTCAAAACATTATCTGGATTGTTGTAATGTTTGAGCAACAGGACAACCATCCTCCTTTTCCCTTTCTGAGCATCTAACTCTTCCCTGAGAAGCCGTCATCTCTCCACTCTCCCACTCACACATCCCCTTTAGCCCCATCAAGCCAGTCTGACTGCGGCACATTTTAAGCCAGTCAGAAATAATAAGCTAATTCATTTTCACAAATGGCAAGAAGAAATAGCGCTTGGCAAATGCTAAACTGATGAATCAACTTGTAATAAAACGCACAATGAACTGCAAAGAATTATTCTCGTTTGGATTTACTCAGTTCTGAAGGGAAACTCAGTTTCACCAAGACTGTCTTGCCTTTTCCATCAAAGGATCTCAATCCCTCTCGGCTTCATGTGTATCATTATCCCCACTTAGAGCTGAGGAAAGAGAGGAAGGTAAATGCTTACTTTACAGAATAGTAGGTATTTATAGACTGGCTCACAGTTCAGAAAAAGCAGATGATATTAACTGCACAGAGATGGGAAGCAACTCCGCTGACAGGTGAGGTGGGGAGGAAGAAGGGAACTATAAAACCTGAAAATTGTAATACTGTTGAAAAGGTAGGTGGTGTTCACTGCCAGCTCATGAACCAAAGGATATTTGTCTTCCATGTTTATCCACAGAGAGAGGGCGCCGATGCGGGGAGCCGAGACGGTTTCTGTCACGATACACTCTGTCCACCAGACCATGATGCCGAGTTGTTCTGCTTGTGTCCAGTCCTGATGACTGAAAAGGAGTCTGAGAGAGACACATGACGTTATAAGCAGAAAAATACATGCACGAGCACCCAGAACCTATTCATATTGTATGCAAGGCTGTATTATTCTAAGGAATAAAACTCAAAAAAAGATATGGACAAGTGTAACCATGTAAATTTTTCCTCCACAACATTTTCACTACAGCCATGGAAAGCAATTACCAAGGCTATCTCTTCCAGACAGAGATTAGAGACAAGTGGAGACAGACCATGCTAGACCTGCCCTCTCATAAATCAGCGCTGCTCTCCAACCTTTGTATATCTAAAATACCACAAGTGAGTGCGGCAGGGAGCCTACTGACAACTGCTGTTTACATTCCCTTGGTGTAGCATGCAGCATGCATCCAGAAGGAACATGCTGACAACCAGAGCTTAAACTACAAGGGCAGGAGATGCAGGAAGATGCGCAGTGAGCCTAACATTCATCTGAACACGCCATGTTCTCTCAAAACTTCCTTTCACCCCTCCTTTCAGCATAATTATTTTAAGGGGACACTGCTAGAATTAAAAGAAAAAGAAAAGCAGTTTCCTTCCTCCTCTGTCTAGAAAAAGTTATAGCATCCGATATTTTTAAGTGATTCTCATGTCATTCAGGTTGCACAGTGAACCTAGGTGGGTTGATTCCACTTTGAATCTTATCGGCGCCAATATCTTGAGAGCATTTACTTGTCAGCAACGGGTTTCAGAGAATGAGGATGGCAAAGAAAAGACAGGGAAGATAAATTCCCAGGCTAAACTGGAAAACTTCTCCTACATTTTCAAAAGCCCTTCTCAGTGTATACCTGCGGGGGGGCAGGGGGAAGGACGTACCGAATGGTCAACCTCTACTCACACTGCAACAGCAATGTATGGGTCTCTGGGGGAAAAAAAGCTACACAGTCTTCCACTCCTTGCCAATGTGAACAGCTTTGCTGAGTCCCTCAACACCATCTGCTTCGAAATCCAAAATCTCCTCCTCCATTCAGGTGCTGAACGTGGCAAATGCACTGTCCTGTCTGCCAAGCCATGAAACCATCTGGCTTCCACATTAATCTTTTTTTCTTTCTCTTTTTTTTTTTTTTAAATAAAGTGTCCAGCTTTGGCTATTTAAATGATTATTTCTGAAAAGTTTTACATTTATTTTAAAATATTTTGTTTGCAATAACTTTTTAAAGAGTCTTTCTACTATTTTAAACTCTTTTCTATTTAGCAAATATTAGTCTCCTCTCCCTCTATGCACACACAACCTGTGTTAATATAAATGGATGCAAAGTGGCTGTGGTGTTTGTTTTCTCGTTTCAGGGCCAACACTTATAAGCAGCAGAATATTGCTTAAGTCAACATGGGACTAGCAAGAGAGCGCAGTGACTTTTTACTGTACTCTCAGCTATTGAGATCATGGTGTTTTGCTTCAGTTCCTTAGCAAGTATGACTTTCTTGTATGAAGACTTGGAAACCTCAAGTCGTAGCATCTCAATTTTAAGATATCTAAATTAGAACATGTTGGTTTAATCTCCGCTGCAAACACTAAACAAAAATCTAGTTCTACCTAACTGGCACTACACAGAACTGGGAACATTCCTAATTCCACAACAACAGGTCTCAAACTCTTCTTTGTACTGTTGTTCCATCATTTCTACCCCAAGAGGCAGCAAAATTCACAAATACATGCATGCTTGGAAGGTCAACAGAAGCAGCAATTTCCTATGCCAGTGGTCTCAACCACAATGTTACTAAAAAAGGAGAAGCTGGTCTGAAGCATACAGAATGCAGACCTCACCTAGAATTTAAAAGGAAACCAATGCATATTAGTATACAGACAAAAAGTTGAACGCAAAAATAGTTATTTCTTAAGTTTTCCCTTTTTTTGGCACAACTTCCATATAAAAACACAACAAAAATGTAATTTGAGTGCAACAGTGGCACAAGTAAACAGACAACGCCCCATCACAGGGCTACAACTTACAGAGCGGGGAATTTTGGGGCAATGCTGTTCTCCGGCTTTCCAGGAACAAAGATCTCAAGTGAATCCCTAACTCGCTTAGGGAAATCAGAAAATAATACAAACACTTGAGAAAACGGGTACCGCCGCCAACGGGTCTGGCTTCTCTGAGCAACCATCCCATGAAACTTACTCTGGACCAAACAGCAGGCAACACACCTTCATTAAAATCCCCATCCCTGCAGGGCATGTGATATTTAACTATAGTAAACAACTGTGGTTAAAAAAAAAAAAAGGAAGAACAGATCTGAGCATCAATTTTATTTGGAAAATGAAGAACTAGAACTGTTTCACTTCCCTGAAAAAAACATTCAAGGATTTGAGATCAGAACCAAAACTCGACAAAACATTAAAAATTGAAAAAAGCTAAATACTCACAGACAGGAAGGAAAAAGCTCAGTGCTCTAAAGCAACAGTGTCCCTTTAAGATTTATCAAGACATTGACTTAAGAAATAAAAACGAGCAAGGTGGATGAGGGGGAAAGCGAGGAGTGGTACCTAGTGACAGTCTACATTTCGGTGCCCCCTGGGGACAAGCAGCATTTGGGTAATCATTCTGCCTTTCCCGATGGAGTTTAACATGCAGGCTAAGTGCACATGCTCAGAGATTGCTTAAATCACAGGCCAAGACAGTGCCAAATAAACCACCGTCTGCATCAAATGAATCCCCCACAAATCATAAGTAATCACATGACAGACCACAGCAAGTCCAGGGAGTCTGTACAGGAATTATTATGCATGTTCCAAACTGGGATGCATGGCAAAACCTGTATTTAAGTGACAGACCATAACTCCTTTGGAGCTGGGACGGTGAATCAAATAAATAAAATCAAATAAATCACAGTGTGCATACCAGAAAAAGTGTAACGTGTGCCAAAATACGTATCTACCTGGGCAAACAGCACACCAGTCCTAAATACGTATTTGCACAAACCTAAATACTTGTTTACCAAAGAGACAGGAACTGCTCCAAAGGCTTCTGCCAGAGCTCCGTTGTGCTGTAAATGCAAAGAACCAAGATTCTCAGACACTAATGCTCTTACCAGAGACAACCAGACAGGCTTCACCGGATCGGCACATCGTACAAGTATCTTTTGACAATTTCATCGTATGTTAGCTCAAAATCGAAAAACCTGGAAAGCGTTCATCACCGATACAAATACATGATTTTGTTTTGTTGCTTGCCACCATTTGTTATCTGTAACGGTATCAACTTTGGATTTGTGTGTGTGTGTGTGCGCGCGTGTGAAAAAAATACATAAAACCCTGGAGTTTAAGGACAATTTGTTTCCGTGTCCTCCTCTAGTCATTCATACGTTTTTGAATACTCACTTTCAAGCACTCTGTTAGTTTCAGGTCTAAAAGAGTCTATGTAACAACCGTCAGTAACGGCCATCAAGCACAAAAATACTGAAATACTATTGCTTAAAACGAACAGTAACTATGAACCTCCTTAACAAGAAAGGAAAGACAAAAACTTGAAGAGACCAGGCACTTGTGGAGTAATACTAAGGGCTTCGTAACGTTACAAACCTCTGCACTGTATTCCCTAAAGGCAACCAGATTAAAATAGACGTTTGTTTCTCCTCTTGCACAAGATTCAAGGTTTTAACTTCCACAAATTCAGCTGTCTACATGTATTTCAAAAGGCATAGAGGACGTCATCAGTAGTTTCTCTGTATTTATTAAGCCAGCCTTCATCAGAAAACCACAAACTGCAAAAATTAATTCTTACCACATCCTTGTGAGATAAAATGTAAATATTACTACTCAAAAAAGGAGAACTAATGCAGAAATTTTAATTAGTTTGAGCACCCTAAATCAACTAACTATAGAAGTCAGGAGTCCCAAAAGTATCCATCACCTAATCCTATCCACTGTACAACATCTTCTGTCCAAACATGTTTACTAACAGCAAAACATTCGTATAAAACACTGATTTTCTGTTTATAGTGCATTACCTCTGGAGTCACAACAGCAGGGGAAAAAAAAAGCCAGTACATCTCTACATTTACTTTTCAGCCAGACCAAGGAAAAGTGACTATTCCGACACTGGTTTGTGTGCCATTCCCCCTTCTCCTCTCCCAAAATCCATGCATTACTCCCGTGGAACACGCACACCACCATGGGGTACCTTCTTCAACACCCCCATCTCCCAGTGCTTTCCACACCACCTTGCATTATTTGCTTCCACTTTTGCTTTGAGTCTACAGGTATCTTTGCAGAAGATTTCGTTATGAATTTGGTACTGAACAAAAAAACCCCACCACCACCATGAATATTCACTGATAAAGAAATTGCATCGCCTCTGCGTATTCTTGACACAAAAGCATCACGACCAGGGACAAGAGAACTAAAATCTAACACTAGATATATACAGTACAAAAATATCCACACATCCCCATACACAATTATGTTCCATTCCAAAAGAGCAAAAATTTTTAAAACAGGGTGATCTGCTGAGGCCATGGTGCTGTGTTCTGAACCAGCAGCTTGTTCATGGTCTCCTGTGAGGAAAAAATAACATGCAGGCACAGCATTAATTTCCAGAAAGAAAGAAACACCCTATTAAACTCACCTGGAAGGGCAGATCCATGGCACTGTTTCCAATCTGATTCACATTTGGCAGTGACCCACCGTAGTACTGGCCACGACTCTGTCCCAGTTGCAAATATTGGGTTTTCTGCAGCTGCAACTGAAAGAAAAGGAGGAGGAAAGTGTAAGGGCAACTCATTTATTTTTCAACTGTTTCAACTGACTCAACTCGACACCATGTCCGTTATCACGGGGAATGGTTACCATCTATAAACAGCACGAATTCAACTTCTCCACAAAGCACGGCTGGCAAACTGCCACGTTAGGTCTTAAGTGATAGTGTAAAGTGATGGAAGACAAATCAACTTCATAGTCAGCGATCGTATTCGATTTCCAACAAATAATCACCACGTGAAACCACATGGTTCGTATGTCACCTGCTATTCTGAAAACCGGGACATAAAAACCCCATGTCAGCCTGATCATGACTCCAATATCAAAATTAACCAGCTGTTCATGTGTGTGATATACAAATAAGAAAGTCATCTTAATTTAGTATATCGAGTATACTGTTTAACCTAATATTCAACTTTTTAGCAATCTAGGTGACAGAGATGTTATAGCAAGTTGTAGCTTTTCACCATTAGGTAAGCGTTCTTGTTTCTTGCACCACGAAAAGCTCTGTAGGAAGGGCAGAGACACAGATTTTCAAAGAAAACCCAGCCAACCAACAAAAAAAACAGCAAAGAATTCCTTACTGAACGGGTATGCATGAAAATAAATGTGACAGCCTGCAAAGTTTCAATAACTGCTAGGTATCACTCTTCAGCTCTGAATGACACCTCTCTACTAAAATATTCTAGTATGCTTTCCCATAGTTGCATACATCTCGGGTGTACAAAAGAGTGTGCAAGAGAAAGCTGTTTCTTTTCTACTCAAACATCAACTTATTTTCACTGTCACTTCTTTCAGAAGACTATACTGTCTCAACAGCTCATTAATAAGACCTACGATTTTTGATTAATCTTTTGTTAGTGACCTTTCTCTTTTTTTTTTAGTTTAGTAGTACCAATATTTAGAATAATTTCTCATTCAATTCTGTAACGTTCCCACTCAATACATCTAGATTTAATACCACGCTGCCCCGAAGCCCTATTTTACACTGATAAAGCAGAATTTGCAATCACCTGAACACAACAATCCTGCTCCCAGGGATGCATCTTCCAAGGACTCAAGAAACTACAATTAAAGTAGCAAAGAAATGAGCTTACATAAGTTCCCTCTCCTCCCACTGCGGAGGAGTACATATTTCATAATGTATGTTGTTCCTCACTAGATGTCAACTGGCTGTTTTTGCACTCTGAAATGCAAGAGCGTTCCTAGATTGGTAGCAAAGAATTGTTTAAAGACTAAACGTTCAGATCTTGGACTAGATGCAGGTTGGTTGCTAAGGTACTGTGGTGTGTACATCAACAAACCTGGTTTAGTTTCATTCAAACAGATCCGAAAGCCTTTGCCTCGCAATGCCAGAAGTCTGAAGAGCAAAGTTTGGAAAAGTACTAGAAAACGCGGCATCCCCCAAACTGGATGTTTACATGGTTTTGTTTTTCCTTTACACTTTCTTCAAGCAAAGGAAACGGCAGGATGGAAACGAGTGGCCCTGCCTCTACAGCTTTACCACAAAGGCCCTGAGGTTGGGTGAAGATGTTTCTAGCAAAGCGAAGGAAGAGCTAGCACCTCCCGTGTTGACAGGTTGATCTATGCAGAGTCCTCCGCTGAAACGGTAAGACCACAAGCAGGGATGCTGAGCGGTGTTGACAAGATACAGCGCTGCACGCTGAGAGCACCAAGATAAGACAGAGAGAAAAGGGACTGGTCTGCTTATATCATGCCGACACTTAGCTTTACCACAAAGGCCCTGAGGTTGGGGGAAGATGTTTCTAGCAAAGCGAAGGAAGAGCTAGCACCTCCCGTGTTGACAGGTTGATCTATGCAGAGTCCTCCGCTGAAACGGTAAGACCACAAGCAGGGATGCTGAGCGGTGTTGACAGCGAAGATACCGCGCTGCACGCTGAGAGCACCAAGATAGGACAGAGAGAAAAGGGACCGGTCTGCTTATATCATGCTGACACTTAGGGGTATATATATTAAAATAGTCCCTGAACAGAGGAGGAGAAAATGAGATCACGCCGAGGCAAACACTGCATGCATTCTTCTGACTTTAAAACTATCCCTAGGAAAGCAACTCAAATACCCTTTATTCACAGAATCTCCCTGAGAAGCCACCAGTTTCCAAATACACAGACAGTCAAAATCTACTGCTTGAGCTGAGGGACCGAATTAATCCAAAACTTACAAGATGGCTCTTAGAGATGAAACCTCTCTACGGAACGGGCGCTCTCAAAAGCCTCAACTGTTCGGGCAGGATAGCAGTCACAAAGCGGCCGACGGTTTTTTTCTTAACCAAAGGGCAGATAAATCCCCTCCGCCCGAAGACTTATAAAATATTCACAGTGTGCCGTATCAAACGGTTCAACAAGATCCCATCTAAAAAGCAGTTAAGGGTCCCCCCTGCTTTTCTTTTGCAATCTTTTGACACGCAATTACAATCCAGTGCTCTCTAAGCAATACATGAGATGAGAGAAACGCTCCGCGCTGGTACCACTTAATGAGTCACAGCCCCTCTAACTCATAGCTGCAGATCACTAAAAGCACAGTATCAGAACTAGCTGTGCTTTTCGCCTGGCCCGTACATATGTTTTGGTTGTTAAAAAAAGGCTCGCTTGGGATTTGTGCCAAACATGGAAGTAACTGTTTCAACAGGTGTTGGTTTCTTTTAAAGAATCTACTACAAGACCCTGGGGGGGGGGTTGTTTTATGGTTTTTTTTAGTGTTTTGGCCTTCCCCAGTACATACCTACCTCAAAGCCTAATGTAACAAGGAGGTCACGACCATTTGTCTTCCCACTGCAGTTAAACGTGGAAACGAGGAAACACAAGAGATCGAGAACTAAAGCCTTTCTCAAAAACGAGCCTGTTAAATGGCTTTGCAGTATCATTAATTTTAGTAACGCTACCTTCGATAAACACTTTTGGAGATCCGTGCCAAAAATAAGAAAACTGATGGCTTGTTATTGCTATCATATATCATTACGCCAGCGTGTAGATCTGTATTTGTTCCTCTCTTCGGCCTCCTGCCTTTTAACAGCGAGTGGCCCCCAGACTACGCGGTTTATAAGAGACCATCAACAACTGCCACTTGCAATCTGTGAAGATCAAGTGTAAGCAGAGCAGGCCAGTTTGCTGAGCGCCTCAAATCTCCAGCTTTTTAGCTGGTAAGAAAGCATTTTTAAATACTGCGGCATTAGACCTTACTGTCATTCCAACAGGAGATCTCAAGCAAAACCAGCTCAAGTCTTTCAAAGCAGAGGATCAGCAAAAAACCCTGCAACTGTCACGGTCACGCTTCGAGATAACTCAGGAGTCTCGAGTCTTACTGAGGGGACCTGTGCAGAAAGAAAAGCAGCACTGCAAATGAAAACAGACACCGGTTGTGACCAAAACGAACATTTCCTCCTTTTTCTGTAAAACCACCTTGTGAGGTGAATTAAGTACATTGCACAACTGGGGGGCTGGGGATTAGGTTTGAAGAGGGGGATTGTGGGGTTTTATTTTAAAAGGAAAAAAAAAGCGCCTTTTCTTAATAGAAAAATTCAGATTACTCTTAAAATGTTAACAAGTCTCATGACAACTCTAGTTTTACTTCCTGGGGTTAGATTCAATTAGTGGCAACTTGAATTTAGATAGTGAAGTACGATAATGAATTACTTAGTGTTCGCCAGATATATTAATTTCTTGAACCATGAGAACTTAGTGACTCTACATACAGCTTTTCCATTTATGAATTATGTGGCCAAGGCTCCTTGACAGTTGAAAATATTGCTAAATATTCCAGTTCTTTCCTGGGAAAGCTTTTGGTAAGGAAAAAGCTTTTGCTAGTTAAACAATGTTATTTCTGCTTGGCATTCTTGTTCAGAAGAAATGTTTTCCAAACGACAGAACATAACTGAATCTGTAATTTTCCCTCCACCAGCATTTCTCTTATGCTACTTAAAGAAAAAAATGAAGATTTTAAGTTAAAATCCAATTTAATCGTTAAAAATCAAATACTTCCGCATAAGCAGTTTTCTAGAACAGCTGAAAACGTTCCCCAAATAAAAGGCAGACACCCTGTTGGTTTGCCAGATTTGAAGTTATGTTAAAACCAATAAATTTCAGCAAAGGGGCAAGAAAAACAATCTGCGAGGCAGTAGCAGCGTCTTTACAGCAAACAGGAAAGGAATCGTTACCTTTCCGTGTAGTAATTAGGAATTTGCAAGCAATTACATTCTTAACTCAGCTAACAGTTGAGTAACATGACATGATCTTACTCTGGTTAATGGAACTGAAACACACACAACTTTGGTAAGAAGTCAAAAATGTTAGATTTAACACAATTACTGACTTGCTAACAATAGAACATTCTTCCAGATACCAGCTTTTATGGGAACCCATTTATATGAACGACCTAGATTTTTCCATTCAGATTGGGTTAAAGTTTGCTGGATATACAGCTGTGCTCGTAGGGAGAGATTCAAGCTATACAATAAAAAAAATTTAAAAAAAGGAAACATATCCCTAAAAGCATATCCAGTTTTCCTACAGACTTTCTAAGTGTCCAAAATATGCAGATGGGAATCAAAGGAAGCATTTATTAAAATTCAACACTTCAGCTTCTCTAAGCTCTTCCCAAAAAATTCTGGGCAAATTACAAACTTATGGACAGATCTCAACGGTAATCAAACAGCAAATCTGACACTGGAATGAAGTCAAGCAAAATCCACTACAACCGTTTCTTTTAAAATGCCCTTTTTAATACATAAAAATTTGATTCCCATAAGCGTAATAAAAGGGTGGAGTGTCCTTTTGATAAAAAAACCCCTAAGATATCTGATGAATACAGGAAGTAAGATTTCATGATAACTGCTCTTTTGCCGGTTTGCAGTTTCCATACCAAGCTTTCTTATAAATTTTAGCTTTTCAGTTTAGAAAGCTTTCTCTTTAGCATGTTGAGGCTAATAAGCAGCAAAACGAGCGCAGATTAAAATTAGAAATGTCTTATTAAAGCTTAATTGGAAATTAAATTCTGTTTAAAGGCTTAACTGGAAGTTTTACAGACTGCATTAAGATAAATCCTGTTCAAATCAGTTCAAAGTTTCCCAGTTGGATACGCCTGAAATTTCTCAGGAAGGCTTTCTCCTAGAGCAACCAGAGGCAGGACCTGCCACAGAAGAGAATATACGGTTGCCTGGAGTTTTTAAACCGGCTGGGATTGATTTGGCATCCTCAATAATATGTCACTGCTATTTTCTGCTCTCTCCCTAG